CCCCAATTAGTTGGCTTTTTTTCTAGTTTGGTTGCTATTTCTTTATCTGTGAAGAAACATTTTTTTTTTTCCAGGGCTGAGGACCGAACCCAGGGCCTTGCACGCCAGGCAGGCGCCCTACCGCTGGGCTAAACCCCCAGCCCCCTGTGCAGAAACTTTTTATTTTAAGGTAGTTCCATTTTTCGAGTCTCTCTCCAATTTGTTGTGACCCTGGGGCTCTGTTTAGGAAGTTCCTGTCTGTGCCTATAAGTTCAAGTGTCTCTCCTACGCTGTCCTGCAGTTGTACGATCTATTTTTACAAAGACAATTTTATTAGAATGTATTCAAATATTGTCTATAGTTGATTTTGAACTTCAACAATAAAAATGAGTTTCTATGACAAAAACCAAAAACGTTTAGAGTATTTACTCTCTGGCCATTCACAGAAAATGTTTGCAGATCCCTACTTAAGCAAAGAAAACAATTCACTATAATGAGCACTTGTAACACATGTATAACACAAATATATGAATTAAAACTGTATTAAGTGTACAATGAAAAATTCACTCCAAAATTGAAATTAAAACTTCCTAAACCTCTTGTTTTAGACTTTTTTAGGTCCCCAAGTCTACCTATTCTACTGCATAGTTCTGTGAAATTCATTCAGTTGGAAGCACAAGAGTGGTACATAATTTAGTCAACACCTTTTGTAATGTAAGGCAGCACATTTTCAAATGAGTTTGTAATTTTCAAATAAAAACCAGTCTTACCCCCCCACACACAAGAAATGTACTCATTACCTTACTCATGTAACTGTTACCCCTCTGTACAGCATCTTTACAATAAAATAAAAACACAAAAAAAGTTGTACTCAATTATTTTAGAAAGAACTAAGGAATAACAGGATACACGACAATTTCTTCAACTATACTCCAGTTTCAAAATACATGCTAGGTGTATGCTGCTATCTGGAATAACGAAGAATTATTTTATGTTCCACTTAAAATCTACCTACTAACGCTTTCAGCAGCTTCAACCCCAATGGATAACTATTTGTAAAAAACCATCCAATGTTCCATCTTCCCCATGGGTAAAGAGGAAGACAGGGCTTTTAGCCAGTACCATACACATAACTAAATGTTTAACTGTCAATCACATGATACTCAGCCATACTCAGGTAATGAGATACCAAAAAAAGTGAAGGAGTAAATGGCAATATAACAACTTGTGAATAGGGAGAAAAGCAAAAGACAAGCTAAGTGTGAGTGATTTTGCAATTAGGAAAAAACAAAAACAAAAACAACTGCAGAAACATATATTTTAATGATTATAAAAAGGAAGAAGACTGTTTCACCCTCTGTTCATAGTGCCCTTTTTTGTTAAAAAAGTAATTTTCTCATAATGTCCTTATTATTGATGCTGCCAAATACTCAGATGCTATAATGACTACTTCTAAATTTCAACCTGTAACAGTGTGATGGACAAATGTGAAAGTTTTGGGTAAACAGGTAAGAAACACCATCAGCTACTACTAATATCTACTAATATTTTTTCTTGTTACAAAGAATAGGCAAAAAGGTATGAATTCAAATGTCCCCTGAAAGCATTTTAAAGAAATGCTACCCATAAACCTCAAAATTTCCCATCCAGTAGACGTCTAAAGTCCTAAGCATAAACATTAATTGATATTTAGTATACTCACATATAACTACTGAATAGTCTAGAGTTATGCTTTAACAGTTATTTGTGTATATTTTATAATATACTAATATCATGTATAATCAATGTACATAGTACACTTTGCTTTCTTAAAAATACATTTATAGTTGTTATACCTAGCTTATAATTTGTTTTGATCACTGTTAAAATTGTTACTTATCTTGAATAAGGAGTGAAACTTGTAATTATATTCTCAATACAAATGGTTGGGATTCCAGGTTAGTATTCTCTAATCTAGAGCATGATTTCTTGAAAGGATATTGACACAGGGACCTTTAACAAGTTTATATATTATAGTCAATCTAAAATATGACCAGTGGTATCATGTGAGCACAAACAAATGTAATTTCACTGATCACAATATATTTCAAACATGAGAGAGCACTATCTCCAAGTAATAATTTTATAAAAGTATATTCACTAAGTGAAAATTCATGAATTTAAGTAAAAATATCTCCAAAGAAATCCTACAAATTGTCATTCAACTATTGGAATTTAAAATATACCCATACATATGAAGTATTTCTTCTCATAATTTATATGCCCTGGTATTATAATTTCAATAAATATGTAGAACAGCATAAAAGCTGACAATTTGGAGAACTATTTAAAGTACATAAAACGAATCATATGTAGAATAATCATCATTCAAGAATATTTAAGCGATTATTTTACAAAGATTTGCTATGAACCATCTATTGCAAAGTGTACATATATAATACTGTACAGATTATGCACTAGTGCCAAATCACAACTTGAAAATATTGTTGCTTACAAATTAAATTTTAAGACTCACATTGAGTTGGAAAATTTAGGATTCTAACTTTTGTCTAAAATGACACAAGTAAAGCTTTTTTAAACATGTCTTTGAAGGGAAAGTAGTAGTTAACTATCTAAAGTTAACTATAGATGTTTTATAAGTACACTACACCACAGACCCAGACTTTTAATTCTAAAGTACCAATTTCAATATAAAGTTCAGATACAAATTCCAATAATGCATAAATGTAATGAAACAAAATCTAAGACTAAGTTTTATACCCTTGCCTTGCCCTGCAGTCTCATTTCAGAACAGATTTATTTCATGGTTACATCTCTCCTACAATAATAGAGTTGAATGCATCTCTCCTCACAGATGACTAGACTGATCAATTTCTTTAACAAGCCATATGGATGGTAGCATGGATTTGTAGTCAAAGAGACATTGGCAGTTTACACACCAGCTGGACTTGTCAGTAACCTTATTGAATGTACAAAGGAAGAATGCTTCTATCAGAGGGGTAAGGGCTAAGCTGTCATAGAAGCATGCAAGAGAAGTCTGAGACATACGCTGTTTGACACAGTCCATCTAAATGATGTCCAGCTCAGAAAGTGTTCTGGTCTGATTTCTTCCAAAAGCACTTCTTGCCTCGCCTCTCTGGTAAGATGATGGTGTCAACCTGTTTTGTGTTGACACTTGTAAGCATTTCAGTCACATAACTGATTCTCAGTGCTCTCATTTATGTTCACTAAACAATTCTTATAATTATAACTTGGCTGTCCTAGGACGTGGCAACAGTGAGAGGATAAGTTAGTTGCTATCTCTAATGTACAGTGTCCTTCCCATGTGGATATCTTAAGCCTGATTCACATATCAGAGTTATGACTGCAGT